GGCTTCCCACGGAGCAGGGAGCCCGATGTGGGGCTCGATCCCAGGACCCTGGGATCATGACCTGAGCTGAAGGCAGACGCTTAACGACTGAGCCACCCTGGCAGCCCTACTTGCAAAGCTTTTAAACAGATGTGCTCCTGCCGACCTGGGCATCCCCACAAGCAGCAACACTTATGCTTCCTTCGTGCTGCGTTAGTCCTTCTTACACTTTCTCTCTCCCTCCAGCCTGCACTGGTGTCTGGGACAACATTACGTGTTGGCGCCCTGCGGACATAGGCGAGACCGTCACGGTGCCCTGTCCTAAAGTGTTCAGCAATTTCTACAGCAAACCAGGTACTGTCTGTCAGCATCGTCTCAGCTCCTGCACAGGCTGTGGGTTGGATTCCCCATCAAGGCCACAAGAAGCAGCTCACTGGTTTCCTCTACTAAGGGAGTCAGGAACAGCTGTGCCATCGTGTGCTGAGTGGTTTTAGGAGCAGGAGAATGAGAGGCCTCTTGCCCGGTCAGCCACCTGAAACTAAACACCGGGGAGAGCAGGCCTCAGACAAGCGTGGACGCATGAGCCTGGTACATGACAGGTGGGGCCTGAGCACCAAAATGAGGAGAGGTGGCAATGCCCACGGGGGGCGGCGGGCTTTAGGCACCGAGAACGTAAATGTGGTTCCATGCTTCCCTGCCGTGTGTGGCTGCCCATGAGTCCTCAGCATTCCCCAGAGGTTTTGAGGAGCCCTGATGCTCAGGGACAGTAGCCAGTCTCTCCTGGAGCCCAGAGCAGTTTCTCATCCACAGGAAACACCTTGCTCATTGGACTGACCCTCCTCAGCTCCCAGCCCCCACCTTCTGAACTAGCGCCATGTGGCCTGAAGACCCACAGTCTCTGTCTCCGGGGTCGGAAGGGGCTGGCCGCGTGGGGGTGCCACCAGCCCTACGGCTGGGTCTCTGCACAACGCTGCGGCGTCTCTTGGCTTGTTCCCAAGAAGGCGGTTCTGTTGTGTTTTGTTTTGTTTTGTTGTAAATGATCCAGATTTTCATAATATGAAGAAATCTATCTGGAAAAATAGAAAAGAGAAGATACATCTGGAAATCAGAAAGACGTGTTACTTTGGAGTACTATAGAGAACTTATTTTCATCTTGAGCAAACATTACAGGGTAAAAACTCTGAGAACTAGAATTGTTGAAGTACTTTAAGCAGAATGTTGTGGCACAGATTGGGATGGAGAAAAAAGGAGATTCAAAAGAAACAGGTTTTGCTCATCCCTGTGACTTGCAAGGTGAGACGTTTTCCTTCGTGATTTAGTCAATGAAGCAGTCTGAGCAGACTGAAGTCATGCTCAGTCATTGGTCATCTTCAACTCAGAAAAACTAAATCATTTTAGAGAATCTGAACTTCAAAAAATATCCTGTCCCATCAATAACATTTCTACCAAATGGTTTGGGCTATAATATTCTCCCAGAAATCCCAAATGAACTAGCATAGACCTAAGCTTCCCCTAATCAGATGGCTTGGCTCTGAATCCTTCTGGGGGCAGCAGGGGTTTCACATTGACAAACACAAGATCTCTGGTTCCTGGGCCATCTGCAAGAGCACCCAACCTCTACCAGACAGGAGCCATCTGGGACACACAGTGCCCAGGTCAGCTTAGAATCTGGCTCGGCTTGGAATCACTGTGCATCCTCTCCTTTGGGGAATGAGAATTCCCAGGATGTCTTGGGTTAAATGTTTGATGCTTTTTTTTGTCCAAGCAGGGAGCATGACACTGCCTTGTTATTGTGGGGAGCATCTCTACCACTAGAAAATTTGCTGGAGTTTCCCTAAGTCTGTATATCACAGCTAGATGGCCTGAAATGTATATGCATCCCCTTGTTTAACTGGTCACAAAAATGTGAGCCAGGAGGTACTTACACAGACTGTTGACAAATTGCTGTCCACATGGAATGCTTGGAGTGTTTGTGCAATTACTTAGAGAAACGTGGACATAATGCAGAGCTGGGGGCTGAGTAGGGCTGGGGCCGGGGCCAACAGGCATCAGATGACAATGGGCTGAGGCTGGGCTGTCTATCTCTGAGGCAGAGATAAAAGAGTGGTCTTGAAATACAATTAAGAACCAGTAGGGCTTGAATCTGTGTGGTATGTTCCAGTTTACAGAAAGCTTTTACAGATATGGTAGTCGCTCCTCACAGTGACCTGTGGGGAGCGCCCAGTCACAGAGTGACTTGTGATCATTTCAGCCCACAGACCCAGTGTTCAAGAAATAAACCTGTGTTTTTATAAAAAGTTGTTTTCTCTTCTGAGTTCTCATACCTCCAGTGGGTGGGAAGCTGGGGGGCTCTCCTGATAGCCGTGCATGGTGTCTTGGCAGCCAACACCTTGTCTCTGCTGTCTTCGTGCTGGGGAGGCTCCTCTGAGCTGTGCTAGGATATGGGGTGCAAGTCCACTCCCACAGGCAGGCAGGGACTCTGCCTCCAGTGTGACAGCAAGGCTGTGGGGACTCGTTACAGCACCAAGAATGAGCCTCTGAAAGAGACAGCAACAGGTCATCAAGTGAAGGAGTGGGGGCAGGCTGGGAGAGGAGGGAGGTTTGTTCTGAAGCGCTGAAGCCTCAAGGTGCCGCGAGTGCCTTCAAGTGTAGCAGAGAGCAGAGCAGAGATGTGCCCTGTGTTGGGGACAAAATGGTCCAGAGCACATGCCCCGTAGCCAGGCAGCCAGGCTCTGAGTTCTGGCCATGCTGACTTGTCCTGGGAGGACGTGAGCAAGTCCCGAAATGAGCTGGGCAGTGGAGTCAGACCCTCTGCAGAGGGTTGTGGAGCTTGCCCAACACAAAGCCTGGCACACGGAGCTCACAAGGATGGATTGTCTGGAGAGCAGGGACCCCCTCGCCCCGACAGGCACAGTGCCGTGCAGGCACACCCACCCTTCCTGCCTCCATGGACAGCCGAGGACCCTCCGAACAATCACACCCAGACTTACACTCCATGAGCGAAGGACTGGGAGCCTGTAATCAGCCTTGGGGAGCAGGCGAGACAGGCACCTGTCACCACTCTGCTGAGGGCCCCCAGGCACTGCGGCTGAACTTAGGGCCACCGCAGAGAGAGTTCACGAAGATTGGGGGGTCCCCACAAAGTGGTGAGGGTTCCCATAGAGCAGATGGTCCCACAGATGGAGGAGGTCCCCACAAAGTCAGGGTGAAAAGGCTCACTCACAGAGGAGGGAGAAGAGGATCCAGGCTCCTGAGTCCTACAGCTGTGGCCTCCCCATCCTTTCTTCCCTGGTCCTGTTTTCACCTCCCAGGCCTCCCCCCTCCACTCACCTCCCAGGTCCCCCCTCATCTAATCCCCTCACCTTTCTGGCCCCTCTCTCACCTCTCTGAGCCTACTCTCACCTCTCCAGCCCCTCTCTCACCTCCCTGAGCCCTCTCTCACCTCCATGCCACCCCTTTCACATCCCCAGCCCCCTCTCTCACCTCCCCCGAGCCTTGCCCCTTTCAGGACTCTGTCTTGCCTCCACTGTCCATTGTGGTCCCCGCCCTCCAGGACCCCTGGGGTTAGAGCAGGAGGAGGTTTGGGGCCTGGAATCAGAAAAACGCAGGGGACAGCAGTGTTAGAGAGTGGCAGAGCAAGCCCACATGATGCTGCCAGGGGCTTTGCTGAGGCCCCCTAATCTGGGCCCTCCCACCTGCCTCCATGCAGCATGCCAAGAATTGCCTATGCATATTATCACCTCAGTGTGAATGCGCCTTGCTCTTGATTTTGTCTGATTAATCAATCACATAGGCCACCTTCATGTAGAAAACAAAGGGTTTTTGAGTGAGAAAACCTATTTCCGCCACTCAGTCATCACAGAACCTTGCGGGTGTTACTGAACCTCAGTCTCATCTGTAAAATGGAAACAGTAATGCCCACCAAGTCTGCCTCACAGTGTTGGCCCAAAGCAAAAAGAGGTGACGTGAGTGAAAATGTCTGCTATTCTGAAAGCCCCAGGGGCTGTGAGTCAGGGAGGAAGCTTGGTGGGTGATCAGCTGCTGAGCCTCCCAGCACCAAGGGCAGGAAGTGCCTTCCCAGGCCTGAGCTTCCCAAAGCCTGCCCTGCAAGTCCCAGCCCTGTCACAGGTGATCAGTGCCCTGCCCTTAGGTCACTCAGCACCACTCAGCACCTAGTGCGGTCACCTACTGAGGACACTTTCTTTTTTTTTTTTAATTTATTTATTTATTAGAGAGAGAGAGAGAGTGTGTCGGGTCGGGGGAAGGAGCAGAGGGAGAGAATCTCAAGCAGACTGCCCTGAGCGCAGAGCCCTACATGGGGCTCGATCCCATGACCCTGAGATCATGATCTGAGCTGAAACCAAGAGTCAGAGGCTCAACCAACTGAGCCACCCAGGCGCCCTGATACTTTCTTTTAAATAGAGGGAACATTGCATTCCTGAGTTTAACATACACGTTTACATAATTAAGAGCAAAAAAAAATGGTGCTATAAGATCAAAACGGCCTTTATTTCATGCAGTTTAAATCTTACACCCACCGTCTGTTCGTCCAACGTCAGTGACCAGTGCAGCGCCCAGGGCAGCTGAGTGAGGGAACTGGCACAGAACAGGATGGAATGTCATAGCAGGCTCTGGAATGGTTGGGATTTGGCGATCACTCTCTCTCCCTGGACCGAATATGAGTCTGCTAATTTTCATTGTGCTCCTTAATAATAACACCACCATCCATTATAATGGTTACCACTGCACCATGCCTCATGACACAGAAGCTCTCCCGCGAGCCACCCAGCTTCCGGGGGGATGAATGCACACACCGTGAAGTGGCTGAATGGGTTGCACTCCGCTCCTCGCTGACCAGAGAGAGGAGGCATCTAGGGCCACGCGCCTGCGAGCCTGCTCGTCAGCACCGAGGCCAGCTGCTGTGGACCTGCAGGCCTAACGCCTACATTTTATCTTCCAGGAAACATAAGCAAAAACTGTACAAGTGATGGGTGGTCAGAGATGTTTCCAGATTTCGTAGACGCCTGCGGCTATAATGATGCCGAGGACGAGAGCAAGGTAAGGGCCCCCGCGTGACTCTCGCACTTTCTAGTCCCTTTTCTGGAAGTGCACGCGAAACAGCGTCCGTGTGCTGCCCGACAAGAATTATGTACATTTCCTTTCCTGCAAAGAGCAGTGCTGCTTATTGATGGCCAAATTGGGCAAAGTCCCTATTTCAGTTCTGTGCCCTGCATTTGGCTCATTTCGTGGTTCCGTCATTTTGGAGGCAGGAAAGCCTGATTCTTTTTGCCTGCTTTCAGTTAGCCTGAATGGCTCTGCCTGCCTGAAATGAGCTTTAATGAGAATTCTTTAGCCTGTCTAGGACTTCGCCACAAAGCGGGCCATCCAGAAGCTGTGCAGCCGTGTTTTTAGCCGTCCAGCAGCAGGACACAGGACTAATGATTGAGCGTGTTTGCAAACTGAGAGACTGAGCATGCCCCTGGCCAACAGTGCCCAGGGTGTGCTGGGGACTCCGCCTATGGCAAGGGCTGCAGCGTTGGTCCGCGTGCTGTAAGGAGGCCACGGAGGTGCCCTCAAGATGAACCCTTTCTCTGGGAGCGTGATTGCCTAAGTGATGTGTCAAATCAAGTCCGCTCAGCTCTGCTCAGCCCCAGGGCTGGGGTGGCTGTTCTTTCCTGCATGTTCACCCTGCAACATTGTATGACTGTGGTTTTACTTTGTTTACCACCAGAAAACCAGGTCACCGTCCTCCCCTTGGGCCACGTTCCTTCACCCCCTAATGCCGTATTTTTTAAAAGATTTTATTTATTTATTTGAGATAGAGAGAAACAGTGAGAGAGTGAGCGAGAGCACAAGAAGGGGTAGGGTCAAGAGAGAAGCAGACTCCCCGTTGAGCAGGGAGCCCGATGCGGGACTCGATCCCGGGACTCCGGGATCATGACCTGAGCCGAAGGCAGTCGCTTAATGACTGAGCCACCCCGGCACCCCCTCAATGCCATATTAATGACAGGTGAATACCATGCGTTTCATGCCCCCATCCCCTGCAAACACCCGCTGTGTGAGAACATACTTGAGGCCCTCTTAAAGAGCCTTAGGGAATACCTAGCTACTCATGCATGTTGGTCTCACTTCCCTCCAACCTTGGGCCCTGCCACCCCACCATCAGTGAGACTGGTACGAATGTCACTGTCAGATACATTTTCCTGGGGGATTAACCCATCTTTCATGTTCCTTTTTTATAGAGGGACTGTCTTTGCTCTCCTCACCAAGATTTACAGTATAAAGCCAATTCTTTTGCCACCAAATTATTAAACCCCAGAAAAGGAAGTACCTTACATTTTAGCTAGTTTCTCACTAATTGAAGGGCGTCTGGCCAACTGTCAGGATGATGGTGGTGGGTGGTGGGATCACTGGCGTTGTCCAGTGCACACTATGAACCACATCAATTACCAGCATCATCTCAGGCAGTCTTTTTCTGTTGAGGTGTGACTGACATGCAAACACTGTTTATATTTAAGGTACGGGCATACGTCACAGGATCACACTTGGCGGATACTGTGTTTTACAAACTGAACATTGGGGCAATGTTGCACTGTCTGTGGGGGACATTTTTCCAACGATATTTGCTTACTTCGTCTCTCTGTGTCACATTTTGCTAATTCTGACAATATTTCTAACATTCTGATGATTATTATATTTGTTAGGATGATCTGTGATCAGTGATAGGACTCACTGAAAGCTCAGATGATGATTAACATTATTTAACAACAAAGTATTTTTTAACTAAGGTATGTACATCCTTTTCTTAGATATAATGCTGTTGTACATTCAGAAACTACGGGATGGTGTATACGTAACTCTTAGAAGCATTAGGAAACCAAACAATTCGCTTGAATCCCTTCATGGCCATGTTTGTTTCCCCACGGTGGTCTGGATCAAGCCCGCAGTATCTCCACGGCATATGCCTGTATGCAGCGTGATGTTCTGACCTGTGTATGTACATACATCATAAGGTGATCCCCTCAGTCAAGCTAAGTATCTATCACCTCACATATTTACCTTTTATTTACTTATTTTTTTTGGTGAGACACAGACCTTATTCCTCTTATAACTGGAAGTTTGTACACTTTGACTAACATCCCCCACGTCCCCGACCCCTTGTCTTCTTTAGTCCTGGTGGCAGCCCACCTTCCAGAGGGAAACACTGAGGTTCGGGGGTGACATGACGTCGTCGGGGCCCCAGCTCTTTTCTGTTGTGCAATCACTGAGATTCAGCTTCTCTGTGCCAGAAGTATTCACCTTCCCCCTCGGCGTGCAGTCACCTGAGCTGCCAGTGAAGTCTGGGGTGGCGCCTGCGCTCTCTCCAGCCGGCAGGGAACTGCTCGCGGGCCTGTGCGCACCTGGTGTCCCTCAGGGAGCTTGTGCTGCTGCTCTCCACCTCGCACGTCCCGAAGGACACCAGGGGTCGTTTGCGCCCTCAGCCAGGCTTGTGACCAGGGAAGCACGGATGCAGAGCTGCTCCCAGGGCATCAGTAAAAGGACACGTATTCAGAATCTGATGCCACAGAATGTCCTCTCAGGTCCTCTGCCTTCTCTCCTACCTCTGGTCTTTCCTCGGCTCCAGACCAGCCTGCTGGTTTTGGAGTCTCACCACATCGGGCTTCGCACACTGGTCGGGGGCTGTCCTACACGGCACAGCGAGACTTCATGTCGTTCTTCTTGTACTGACTGGATTCTGCGAGAAGGCCCCGTGAGATGTCAGCCTCTCGTGAGTGGCCTGTTGGGCAGGAAACACGAGGTGGTAGAGAGCCCCGAACCTGGGACTGAGGGCCCTGGCAGCCACTGAGCTGCTCCCGCTGGAAGACGGAGGTTTGGTGCCGTGATCGTGTCTGCTGAGCCTCCAAGTGTAGCTCAAAGTCGGTGACCTGTTCAGGTCGAATCTGAATTCAGAACATGTCTTCACAGGAAGATAACCTGTGGATTTCAGGTTCTAGACTAGTCCCAAACTGCTGTTTAGCTATTTAATAGGACCAAACCAGGAGACCATCCTATTGGCTTTCTAAGAATAAGCCTTGAACTGGTACAGAATTCACCTGAAGCCTCAGGACTGTCCTGGAGCAGGAAGTGTTCACAGGCCCTGTTCTGCTGACCCTGCAGGCTGACCGGGAGTGGGGACTGCCCTTCTTCACGATGACCAGGACTCCAGGAGTGCCTTCAGGGCACCCTGCCACATGACACCTGCCTCCCAGGTGACCCTAATGGGTGCCATCAGCCCGTTTCAGAGGCAAGAAGGCAGGCCTCGGCAACCAGAACAGTCTTGGCCCTCTGTGGCCCGGAGTGAGGGGGTGGGGTTCTGACACGCCTCCGGATCCACCGTCTGCAGGTATCCCAGACGCCTGTGTGGGGTGGAAGCAGAGTGTCCCCAGACCCCCCAGCAGCATTTATTCCGAGCCAGTTGTGGGTCCCTATTCGAGGGTGGGCCCGTCCCCATTCATTCATTCCACAGTCGCTTTTTGGGAATCCCGGTGTTGTGAGTCTGTCCTGTTATCACGAACTCAGTGTGGCCGTGGGCAGGTGCTGAGAGCTGACATTCGAGGCAACGTTGGCACCCTTGACAAGTCAAAGCCGGCAGCTCCTCTTCCTTACCTTTCCCCTGGGCCACACCGTAGGTGGCATTCCCAGGAAAACTGATGGAAAACTCTTCCAGGCCCTCGGAAACACGTGTGCCTGAGCCCTGCCTTCGTGAAGCACAGTGTCTCTGCTCTTCTGATGCTTTTCCATCCAGTTTGAAGGGTTATGTGTCTTCTTAATTAAACATTTCAGAGATTCTACAAATATCATGAATGCACATTCCCTACTAATGGATTAGAAAGTCAAAATATTTTAACGTGTGGACGCGAAAAGAATGAAGGCACAAAACCAAAGTGAATAACTTTTCTTCCTGCTTGCAGTTTCTGCTGTTCACATACTTTGAATATTTGGTTGTTTAAGGGATCCTGCGGAAGACAAGAACCACGCGGTTGGCGGACGTGCAGAGGGCCCGGAGGGTTCGCGGCCCCAGCTGGGTCTCCTCGGGCGGCTGAGGGGAGCTGCAACCCTGGCCATGAGCCCAGTGAACTCTGCTTCTGATGTCACTCCTCATCTCATCAGCAGCTCACTATCCTCCCGGTTTTATGATTTTAATTGGATTTCCTGCTCTCACACAGCCAGACTCTGCCCTGGGTGTTGTGTGTGCAAACTTTGTTGGTTTCAGAATTAATTAAATTAAAGAAAAAAATTAGCCTCCACAAAAGCCACAGGCTTGGTTACACGCAGCAAGGGAATCGAAAGATAAAATAAATTCAGGAATGGGGAGTCCCATGAAGGAAAACAGTGTCCGAAGACCCCAGAGGCCTCTCAGATGATGGCGGGAACCACTATGGTGAAGCTGTTTCTCAATCTGGACCAAGGCAGCCCGGTTTGGCAGTGGTCTGGGTCTTTATGTTCTGGGTCTCACAGTGAGATAATAAAGCTGGCCAGGCTTGGCTCAGACTCTCTCTGTCACCAGGTCCTGGTTTCTGTGTCCAATCTTCCTTGTCTGTGACCCTCTCCCACCAAAACCACCCTCGGGCATGTGCCTTGCCAGCCATAGGAGCATTTTCCTCTCGGGACTTTGATCTTTGAACCATTGCACGAAGTGCTTCATCCCATTAAGGATTGAAGGAGCACTCCCAGGGGCCCACAAGGGTCATGCCAGGAGCTGCCCTCTGTCCTTTCCCGTGCCCCACCCTTCCAGGGACGTGTGGGTGTCCCCACTCATGGGGCTGAAGAAGCTGTCCTAGGGTCATGTTCTCAGCCTCAGCCCAGACTGCCAGCAGGAGTCATTCTACCTGGAGTTATCTGCCTGGTCGCCCATCCCTCTAGGCCTGGCCCCCACCCCGGGGCTCCCCTGACCATAGCAGTCTCTTGGCATTTTTCCCGCAGCAAAGGCTGTTTTGAGGCTCTGGTTCGGGGCACCCCCTCAGGCCAGGGCCCCAACCCGTCTCCCAGGGATGCTGAGAGCTGGTGGAACATGGAAG